TTGTTTCATCTAAAATATATAATATTAGATACTAGAATCGAACACAGCCAAAACAACCAAACATCCCAATAACATTGCAGNCTTGTTTCATCTAAAATATATAATATTAGATACTAGAATCGAACACAGCCAAAACAACCAGACATCCCAATAACATTACAGCTTGTTTCATCTAAAATATATAATATTAGATACTAGAATCGAACACAGCCAAAACAACCAGACATCCCAATAACATTACAGCTTGTTTCATCTAAAATATATAATATTAGATACTAGAATCGAACACAGCAAAAACAACCAAACATGGCAATAACATTACAGCTTGTTTCATCTAAAATATATAATATTAGATACTAGAATCGAACACAGCCAAAACAACCAAACATCCCAATAACATTACAGCTTGTTTCATCTAAAATATATAATACTAGATACTAGAATCGAACACAGCCAAAACAACCAGATATCCCAATAACATTGCAGCTTGTTTCATCTAAAATATATAATATTAGATACTAGAATCGAACACAGCCAAAACAACCAAACATCCCAATAACATTACAGCTTGTTTCATCTAAAATATATAATATTAGATACTAGAATCGAACACAGCCAAAACAACCAGACATCCCAAAAACATTACAGCTTGTTTCATCTAAAATATATAATATTAGATATTGTAATTTATAATATTAGTAATATTAGCTTTAATTTTTTCCATTGAACTAATGCAAATTCATGTAGCATGTACCTCGTAATACACGCCATTGCCTCATCAACAAAACGTTCCGACATTTGAATCATTTACCCTTAAAGAAGAAAGAAAGAAAACCATGACTGGAAGCCAAAACTTACTATTTCTACTAGTGATTTCCGTTAAGTTGTAAACATTTTCTAGAAACTTTCTTAATAAGGTATCTTCGTTTCTCTGCCGAATTTATAGTCAATTCTTGCGAAAATTAATTTATTTATTTTCATACTTCAACAGGAACATTTGATCAAAAATGGCGCTTGATTTTGAAAGACACGGTGAGAGATCCTGTTAGGGCGGAAATGGTGGTGACAATCAACGTGCACAATATATAAATGAACGAAATCAAACTACCGTGAAAGATTTGCTAACGCTATGCAATTAACATATCACGGTAATCAATGGCAACCATAGTTTGCCTGAACTATGTCATTATTGTCACGTGATCACGTTTCATCAAACATAAGCGACTGGTCGTTCGGGACTATAAGTGTTTGAATACAAAGCCAATAACAACTTTAAGTTCGTAAGATATGGATTAAAAATAATGATAAAGTATATAATTGGTGACGATATATCATTAAATGCATAAGTTAGTGTCAGTATTATCCACCAAAAGGCTCTAAAGTTATGGACTATATTTACGCCGCAGTGTTACACGTGGCAAACCAGTGGTAAAACGTCAAAGTAAAGAGATTATATCCACAGGAGACAGATTTAGCTAACATTTGTTAGACATTTCAGCACTTCCTGCAAAATATTGATGGTATAATAGTCGTTGTCAATGGGACAATGTAATTGGGTTTAAACTTGATTTTAAGAGTCAGTATCACTAAAAAAAGAATATGAATACGACAGCTGCTTCGTCAGTTATTCAGTTAAACATGATATCGGGGTGACAACGTTCTGCGTAACTGCACAGTTGTAGTAACAACCCATAGCCTAATCACAGCACATCGGATATGCACTGGAATTTTAGACCCTTCTTCGTAATTGCTGACTGAATCTCCTGACATAAGTGACAATTTTTCAATTTGTGCCGAATGGACTCGTAGGGAAATTGAAGCACGCTTGAAAGAGTTATAAACCTTCCTTACTTCATAAAAAGCACCTGTTTAGAACAGGAAGTGAAATTGAAAGTGTATTGTGGGATGTCCTGCTTTAATAATATATCCATGGCATCAGTGGCCAACCTAGATGACTGGGTGCCCGTGGACTTAAGAAGGTTGGGGTCCCTCCCCCGTGATTCCTTTTAACATGTGCTCTCATGCATTCTGAGACCTCCCTTGAAGTCGATTTAATGCCTGTTAATTTTTTTCTGGGTTTGGAGGTACCCTTTCGGGCGACGACCCGTGGACATGGTTCAACCAGTCCCTATAGTATTTGACCCACTGCTTGCCATTCATATGAGCTACCCATACGAAACTATCCGTCGTCCATGCATAGAAATAACAGTCATGAAATAAGTTGTCTCCATGTTAAAGGTGTGATTCAAACTGAACTTCTTTAACAAAATCTTTGCAGCATTTGACCTCCGGTTGGATCAGTTGGTGGGTGGTAGGTTTTTGAAACCAGTTCGTTGGAATAAACTAAAAACTTTTATAAACAAAGCAAAAAGCATGTTTACTTTATTTCAATCAATACGACAAGACGCCTGTTTATTTTTAACATTGATACGAATTTCCGTACCCACTGGTACAAGAGCTGGCTTTGTAAGAAGCTCGTACTTTTACTCCTGAGTTACGTGATGCACACCATTCTTTTACTTTTCTATCACATGCTGTACCACACGACATCATCTCGTGCCTTCGACAGGCACATGTTGGCACACCATGACAACTCTGAATGGAACCAAAATCCTGAACTACACTTCCATAATTATCATTATTCACAGCGGTACAGAAACAACTGAAATTCAAAATAAGGGGTTGAATGAGATTGAGAGTCCACATATCTTATTGCTTTTTTGTTTCTTGTATTATACAGTATATGTCGAGCAAGATAAAATTAATGTGCATATCCGGGTACTAAATACTACTTATTCTACCTCAGATTCTGCAATTCCAGAAAATTTCGGAAATGACGCAGCTCCCACAAGAGAATCTATTACATAATAATATGTGTTATCTCCCCTTACAAGATGGCAGCATTTCTGACTAAAAATTGCCGACTCATTCACATTTTGCTTCACCGTTGCCTTATAACTCTTTAATACGTCTTATATTGGACTAACTTGATTTACCAAATTTTCTACTATGCTACTATTATACGTGATTCTGGTAGTTCAGAATCCGATGATAGTTCGGGACTACAAGTGTTTGTAAACAAAGACGATGAAAACAAAAACTTCCTCAGATCTAACCAATAGTCACAATATAGCATTTAATGCATAAATAAAGGACTTAATAAATTAAAGGACTATATTTAATTCGCAATATTACTATCACTATTACTATTACTATCAACCAGTAACATAAAACTATATATGTCATATATTTTTGATAAGTTCACGCTAGAGTCGCAAAAAAACCTCAAACACAATGCATACTTACTTTCTAGTATCGCCCGAAATTAGCCAACTAGACCCACAATCGAACACAGCCAAAACAACCAAACATCCCAATAATATAGCTTGTTTCATCTAAAATATATAATATTAAAATCGAACACAAAAAACTACTAATCGTAAAAATACTCGATTTGTTTTAAATATAAGATAAAGTATATCGAATGTTCTATATATTGAATGTTTTTTAATACATGTGAAATTGATACGAGTTAGTTATTTTGTTAACATCAACCTGTATCCTATGATGACAAACTGATTAAAACTAAAAAAATTATTTGACGAGATCCAATATATAAAGAAAATTTCGTCGGATCCGTCAAACCTTGGCATTCATATCGAAAAATAAACCAATGGCTGACAATCGACAACCGGCAGTTGGTCTTACATAATTAGAATCATTAACTCTTGAAAAGTCGAAAGGTAAAATAAAACGACCGAAAGCCACTGTAATAACTGAGATCAACCGGCTGTTTTTAACGGAGGTATAACGTTGCCACAATTGTCGATTGTGTTGCAGCTTTAAAATACCTATGTCGTCATTGCAAAATGCATTTGTCAATGCTGCAAAGTTCAATTGTCGATTTGTAAAAATGTATAAGCATTCTCCAAAATCCAATGAAATGCCACACGAATGCAGATAACATTTAACACTTTGCATTCTTTCATTGGATTTTGGAGAATGCTTATACAATAAAACACTAAGATATATGGACAATGCTTATACAGTTTGCATTTTTACAAATCGACAGTCGTACTATGCAGCATTGACAAATGCATTTTATAACGACGATATTGGTATTTAAAGCTGCAACACAATCGACAATTGTGGCAACGCTATACCTTCAAAGTTTTTAGCAATACTTACTTTTTCTTGTTGTAATCTTACGTTCAGTTGAATAAATATATTTTTCTGATGAGATATCGTCAAAATCTTTCAAATTTATACTCAATTCATGCGAAAATTAATTCATTTATTTCCCTTTCGGAACGGGTATCCTTTATCTAAGATGGCGCTGATTGAACAAAAGTTTGTTTTTGAGTTTAAAAGGGACGGTGAGAGATCCTGTAAGATCGAAAATATTGGTGACAATCAACTATCAAATCGACGAATGAATGAAAAGAAAGGCATGTGTCAGACACGTCAATACCTCAAACCTGCATCACTAGCGGGTGGAAACCGACTTGAAAAAATCCGAAGATTATAACTGTGTTTCCACCTGGAAAAAGCCATCTTTAAGCTAGCGTCCATCCGTTTCCACGTGGCAATTCGCAGAACAAAAACGGATACCGGGAACCACAAACTATCTTTTTGCGTTAAGCTAGCTTAACTCCACTTTACTCAGTGGAAACGCAATAGCCAGCTTTATCTCGTTCGGCAAAAGAGGGCGTGCTGATCTCCAGAGAAACAAAACCAACATTTCGTCACCGAGAACCAGGCTGTTCTATATCCACAAAAGTGGTTTTCGAGAACATTGAGTTCAAAGTTTCAATACCACAGATCTTTTTAGCATTTCATTGGAACTTAGCATTATTGTTATTACTGGTCTAAATTTACTAAATATCATTACTTTTCTATCTAGTAAGCCCCCATTTAGTGGTAAAACTTTAGGGTAACATAAGAAATTCATGAAAATTCTGAGAACCAGACTGTTCTGTATCCATAAATTGACATACAAAAGCTGTCTAAAGCCAATTAAATGGCCCAAGCATATATTTTCATTCATTCATTTAAAATGATACTAGAGTCTGAAATTTAGTATGGACATAGAACATGGGCTCTTATCTACATTTGGTATGCTAACTCAATTTTTCACAAAAGTGGACATAGAACAGTTTGGTTCTCAGGTTACGATTTGTACTTTCTTTCGTCGCTGTTAATAACGTCGTATATCCCATTCACATCCACCGCTATACAGAGGAGGGAAATTGCACAATAGTTAACTTGAGATTAAACGATAACCTTGGACATACACATCTTAAGATATCTTGAAAATGTGACCTGCATGTGGTCCCTAGCCTTTAGGGGATAAAACTGCACAGTTACATTTAATATGTTTTATATTATTTTTATCGCCTCAGATTTTACCGTTCTTTGGATCCATTTGGAAAGAGGCTGGCACGTCTTTGCCACTGAACATTACGTTTTGTTTCCTTTTGTAACTGTTAATACATGTAAAGAGCGAAATTTGATTTGAAACTGACAATTTATAGATATTTCCTTCATTTATCACTTCTTTA